CTGGAAGAGCAGGAGGTGCTCTTAACCACTGAGTCATCTGTCCAGCCCCTACATGGTTTATGTTCCTGCTGAGTAGGAACATAAAACCAAAAATAAATCAGGAAGATTATAAAACAAAATTCTGCTAGTCACTGAGCAGACGTCTCACTCAGTTCATTTGGGGATCTGGCACCCTAAAGACTTTGAAAGGCAGTCACTAGTGACCAACTTTTAGCCCATGTAAGAGGGACATGATTCCTGTGACTGTCAGACTCCAGAGAATGAGTGAGTTCACCTATCCAGGACAGCACACTCTGCTCTCCAGAAAGTTCTCAAAGGGAGAGGCAAAGGGTCTTTACGAGCAATAAAACCAGCTGAGACTTACGCTCTCTATTCAAAAGGGTCTCAACTGGCAACTTTGGGTAAATCTGTCTGGACCTTGGAATTTAAAAATGGAAAGTATCTGACTGTACTGGTGCTCACGCTTTTCTGTGCTGTGCTAGGCAAATCCTTCCTTGACTGCCGTAAAAAAAAAAAAAAATCCCTTTCAATGTGTTCTGTTCTGTCAAACTTAACTTGTCTAGCTCTGAGGAGATAAAAGTCCAGCTCTGGGCTGAGGAGATGGACCCCTAGAAACCCTTTAAAATCTGGACATAGTAGTGTGTTTCTAAAATCCCTGTACTCAAGCCAGAAAAGGCAGCCAGAAGCAGCAGTTAAAGAAAGGGCAGAAATCAGTAAGTGATGGCCCTTGCCTTGCCTTTTTTTTTGCCTTGCCTCTGAGTTCGAGGCCAGCCTTGTCTACAGAGTGAGTTCCAGGCTAGGGCTGCTCATGATTGCCCCCAGTGATATAGGTCAAGCCTGTGACTGCTGGGCTAAACTCTTCCGCATTTCAATGACAGCGCAATGTGTCCAAAGCGGTTTCCAGAACAGTCCCTGTACGGCTCTCCATTTGCAGGCTCGGGGCGGCTGCATGCCCACACGCTCCCTGCCTATGCCTACTTGCACTCATTCACCCTGCGCCCCACACCCAGACTTCAAGGCTGCCAGGCTGCTGGGCCCTGGCTTCCTGCCTCCCTGCCCCAGGCTTCTCCCACTGGAGCCAAACTGACTAAATAGAAGCCTCAGACACCTTTGGCCTCTAGTCAGGGGCGGAGTAAGGAATCTGGAGTTCCAGGGCGGGAGGAGAGGTTGCCTGGGTGCCAACAGGCAGCAACAGGCTGGACTCCAATCGTGTCTTCCACAGGGAAAGACTCTGCGGAAGAGCTGGACAAGCTCTCTTCCTAGGTCGTCTTTGGTTGGGCTCAGAAAAGCGGAGATAGGCTGGGACAAGGCCAAGAGCTCCTCCCCCTCAGAGCCCCTCCCCCTCAGAGCCCCTCCCCTTCAGAGCCCCTCCCCCTCAGCCCCAGGGAGGCCAGGCAGGGGGTAGCACCAGGACGCAGGCTGGGAACTCAGGTGTGCTCACTCCGATGTTTGTACAGGTGAAGGCTCAGATCTATCACCCATCCCAAGTGCCTGTGCTTTGCCAGCACAGGAGGGCAGCCCCGCAGGACCTCAGGAACCCCGATTCACCATCAGGGCTGCCCGCCCCCCTGTCCCTCACTCTGAAGCCCCCCCACCAGGAACCTCTGGAACTGGGCACCAAGTCTCGCCAAGTCTCAGCATGTCCCATCTCTCTCTCTCTGCCGATGTCTGGTTCCATACCAGACTCCCCGAGTCAGCGCCTCCCTGTAGGGACCTCAGTCTGGTGCCTGAACCTTCTCTTGGGCTCCCCCTCCCTGGTCCTCCAATGACTGCTGACAAAGGTAAGCCTGTCAGCTGAGGACGATGCTGCCCTTAAGGCTGATGTGTGCCACACGCGTCTTTGAACAAGCAGTTCCCAGGCCTTCAGAAGCCCTCGGGAGTCAGCTCTCCCGCAGCCACAGACTCTTCTTCCCTTCTGTGTTGTTCTGGCAGGGACTCATCTGAGCAGCCCCCACTTGTCTCCTGGCCCTGGAGCCCATTCAACGGGCACAGCTTCTACTCTGCATATTTCATATCCCCCCCCCCCTTTGGCCCCTTGAAAACGCTGCCTCCCACACCTGCCCAGTGCTTGCTCAGACTTTTGAACCCATAACCATAAATGCTGGTGGCCACACACAGGGCACAGGACTCGAAGACTTAAAACACAAATCCTTTCACCCACTTGCTCTAAACTGAAGGCATTAGACCAAGGAAATGGATCCTAAGGGTTTTACAACAGGGCAGGAGCCTGCATGGCTCCATCCTGGGCACTTAGAACAGGGCGTGACACGGTGCGTGTTCCTAAGTGGGCTACCAACTGACTGTGTGTGGAATGGTTTCTACTGGAGTTATTTCAAATAAAGTCATGGCAGACAGCTATCAGTGCCATTGACAGTCTTAGTCGGACCATAAAAGGAACCCACCAGAGCCAAACGCTTGAACACAAAGAAACCCTGGCCGCTCTGAACCTGGCCTACACTGTTTCTACCCCACCAACATGGATCACAGAGCAGGAGATCCCACTTTGAGCTTGGTAGCTGTATGGCCTCCACACCCCTGCCCCACCCCTCAAGGACATAGGCCCACCATCTTGAGATCAAAGCCAGAGACTCACAGCGCTGTGTGGTAATGTGGCGAGTCTGTCATGGGCCTGCCCAGCTGCCAGGTACATTTGCTTGGGGTATCAGGTCGAATCCATACGCGCTCACTGTCCCCTGAAGGGCCCTTCTCTGGGTGCCCTTTCCCTGAGTGCACGTCCAGATGCTGGGGGCACACGGCTGAGCCATCTTCGCACTGGGATGTCCCTGAAGGCATGCTGGGATCTGTAGCGGGACAGAGATCTGTTGGTTTAGAGGCTGGCTCACACATCCCCTGTGGGAGTGATGCTCCACTGGAACAAATCCAGCAAGGATGGGAGAAAAGGTGCAGGCCCCAGCTGCTGTGGAAAACATTTAGGTTCCTGTCCAGAAAGTTAAACAGAAACTACCATATGACCCAGCAATTCGACCACGAGGCAGAGGTCAAAAAAAAAAAAAAAACAAAAAAAGGATGGAAATAGATATTTAATGTGTCCATTCTCATGGCAGCCTTGAGAGTCAAAAGGTGAACATCACCCAAGGTCATGGATGAAAGGATACTCAGAAATGTGTTCCATCCATGAAATGGGATACCATTCAGCCCCAAGAAGGAATAGACAAGCCTGCAGAGATGGTTCAGCAATTATAAGTGCTTGCTTTGAAGTCATGGGGAGTGGACTTCAGATCTCAGCACACATGTAACAAGCAGGCTGTCCCACGCACACACAGACATAGACACAAATAAGTAAATCTCTTTTTTTTTTTTAAAAAAAAAAAAGGAAGGAATGGATAAAATCTGAGGACATAATGTTAAAGGAAAGAAGCCAATCATAAAAAATTTCTAGAAATGCCCAGAATAATCAAATGTCCTATGATTTGAGCTATGTGAGGGACCCAGAACAGGCAAATCCACAGGAACCTATCATAGAGGACATGAAAGGCAGGGGTGGGAGGAAAGAGAGCAACCATTTAATGCATGGCGGCTTTTGAGATGATGAAAAAACATGAGACAAGTCCTATTTTCATCCTGTAGCTGTGACAAAACATACCGAGGGGAGCAAGGGTTTATTTCAGTTACAGTCCCAGGTTACAGTCCATCAATCTGGGGAAGTCAGGGAAGAACTCTTGCAGCTGGCCACATTATATCCAGTCAAGAGCAAGGAGAAACAAATGCATCCGTGTTGGCCGCTCTCATCTAGCCTTCTCGGGTCTTACACAGTTCAGGACTCCTTGCCTGGAGAATAGTGCAGCCCACTGGACAGCCTCCTCCCACATCAGGTAATAATCAAGACAATTCCCTACAGACATGCCCCCAAGCCAAACTGTTCTAGGCAGTCCTTCTGTTGAGACCCCTTATCAGGTGACTCTAAACTGTGTCAAGGTGACATTTGACACTAGCCAGAACCTTGTACAGACAGTGACAGCAGTTGCACAATCCTGGGGATAAAGTGGTTAAGACACCGCCTCCATATCGACCATTTCTGCACCTCAGACTAAACTGCGGATTAAAATGATTCAGAGGCCGGATGCGTAGCTTTGGTGGGAGAAGATGGGGTGGCTGGCAAGTGCCAGGTCCTGGGTTTTAGTCCCTTGTTTTAAAAAACAAAACAACAAAAAGAAAAAAGAAAAAAAACTGTGTGTACTTAACATGTACACATTTCCATGTTATTATTCCATGAAGAATGCAGCATCACAGTTGCTTTAATTTTTTTTTTTTTAAAAAGCTGGGTATGATGGTGCACACCTTTAATCCCAGCACTCGGGAGGCAGAGGCAGGTGGATCTCTGTGAGTTCAAGGCCAATATGTACTACATAGTAAGTTCCAGAACAGCCAGGGCTATCTATGTAGAGACAATGTCAAAACAACAACAAAAAACAAACAAACAAAAACCCCCAAACCAAGCCAAAACAAAACAAAAAAAACCCAACCCCAAACAACAACAAAAAACCACACAAACAATTTTTTAGATTTACTAATATGTATGCCTGTTTTGCCTGAATGTATGTATGTGTATTATGTGTGTGCCTGGTGCTCTTTGAAGCCAGAAGAGAGCCATCGTGAGATCCCCTGGAACTGGAGTTACAAATGATTGTGAGTCACCAGGATCCTCTGCAAACATCTGTTTGCCTAACGTGGACATCATCCTGGTGTTTTAAGTAATCTAACCCTGATTTGAGGTTCCTGAGAGGGTGCGTAGTGTATTATGGAAGGACAGCCATATGGGACCACCTTCCATGGACCTGGAGAAAAGACCACCATTATGTTATATAATTTAGTCCACCATTTACAGCAAAGCCAGACACCCCCACCCCACAGTCCCAGGAGGTGGAAGCAGGAGAGCAGAGGTTCAAGGCCAGCCTAGGGTCTGTGAAATTCTGTCTCAAAAGAGGGGGTGGGGGGTGGGGGCGTCGGGAATAAACTTCCTTTGTAAAACGCAGGAGAAAGAAGCTGACACTGGGTACCCACAAGTGTGCTGTGGGCACCAAAACTGGACAGAAAGCCAGAGAGTCCACTCCAGCAGACATAGGTGATGTTTAACATTCTAAAACAGATGCAACCCCTGTGGGGAGCTCAGTCTTAGCCTGGACTGCACAGGCTGTACAGGAGAAAAAGAACGAGGGGCGGGGCCAAGCACTCCCAGGTGAAGTCAGGAGCCCCACCCGGTCCTGTCCCACCTCGCTAGTGCCCTTGGTGGCCAACTAACGTTAATCAAAACTTGCGGCCACCTCAGCCCTCCATGGAGCTTCGCGTTTCCCCAGCGTGAACCCAGGCAGTGGCCTAGGCAGGCGCTACTTTCCTTCAGGCCAAGACCCCTCTCCAGAGCTCCCTCCTGCTGGGTGGGCGCCCCTGGCTTCGGAACTCTCCCAAAAGCCAAGCAGGCACAGGTCGCCCGGCGCCATCCCTCAAGGTATCTTCGCAGAAAGGAAGTCACCGGGAGATCCGAACTCGGGAGATCCGAACTCGGGAGACCCGAACCAGAACTCGCCTGGAGAGCACGCCCCAGGGCATCCTGCGTCCCTCCACGCCACTCTCCCAGTGAGGTTTCCCGAGGGCCATCAAGTTCCCACACGCACAAACCGTCTGGCCACTTGACGCTCGTTCGGAAGGGGTGGTTGGGGACAGTATGTGACAGTGATTTGGGAAACCCTCTGTAAGTAGCAAGTTGCACAACCCCGATCTGCTCCCTCACTGCACATTCCTGGTCTCAAGCGACCCGCCCCGCCCCCGTTCCCCGGCCAGGCTCCTCAGGAGGCACAGAACCTGCACCCCACGGGCCACTATTTCAATATTTACCCCACCCGGTACCAGGGCCCAAAAGAACAATTTGCGAAACAGCTGTCTCCATCCAAAACAGGGGAAATCGATGACCGGTACCGGAGCAGCGCGTCACCCTAGAACCTGGCTCCGGGCTCCGAGACTCGCGGCCATGGGGTCCAGGACCACGTGGGTGCTCAGCATAGGTCGGTGCTTGCGGGAAGGGGGCAAGGGACGCAGGTCTCAGCGGAGCGGCGGGGGACCGTAGAGCCCCCCAGCGGGGTCATGGGGCACCCGGCTTGCAAGCTGGCACTGCTCTGAGCTTCCAGGTGCAGCTGATGCCAAGTCCTGGTGCAGAGGTTAGGAGCGTCCGCCAGGCACTGAACCCTGGCGCGGGACTCCTCTAGTCCAAAGCTTACCTGAACTCAGATTCAGGAAAGCGGCTTCGACTAAGTTGGGCTGGAGAGCGCGCCAAGACAGGATCACGGCTCAGATGGGGACTCTGCGGGTGGCGGGTCTTGAGCCGACGCTGCGGCTCACAGCAGGCGCACGCGATTGGCCCAGCGACGGGGGGCGGAGGGCCGGCACCCGCCAATCCCGGGCCGTAGATCGGCTGCCCACCCACCCCACCCCACCCACCCACACCCCTTTTCCCTCCCTACCCCCCACTCTGGCTCTCTGCAAGGGGACGGCTGGACGCCCCACCTCCACACTCCCGTGTCTTTCTGTTCTTTGAGAATTCAGGGAGCTGCGCTCGAAAGTTTGGGAAGCTCTGCCGTCTGATTCACGTTTGTTGTCCGGCATCAGAGGAGGCCCCGAGTCTGTACCCAAAGGTCTGCACCCTGAGGCACAGCGGGGCCGAGTGTTAGGGAGCCTCATTTTCCAGGACCCATTTCGCCCGAGGACATGGCGAGGACCTGGCTTGGCATGCTCCCGTCACGAATCGCTGCTCTGCCTGATGCTCCCAGGAAAGTGCCCATAGCTTTCTCAAGCCACCGGCCTGCGGGGCCCGGGTCAGTGGTGCCACTCGAAGGGCGCCCCAGTATGTCCACAGGAGGTTAAAATGGACATGGTGGAGTATGCCTGTAATCCCAGCATTTGGGATGGGTTGAGGGAGGAGGATCTCAAGTTTGAGTTCAAGGTCAACCTGGGCTATATAGAGTCCTTCTGGGCGAAAAGAAAAAAGCAAACTGTGCCTGGTGCTCTTTGAAGCCAGAAGAGAGCC